TTAAACTCAGAGAAGATTATATTTTAAAATCCGTATTCTAAAGTTTTTGAATATGACACAGATGACCAACCATGGACAGGTGTAAAGTTTTCACCATTCTATAAGACTTTATATGAGCGCTTTTTCTCAATATAATATCTACAAAACACCATCTAGTGGCCACAAACTTGACTGATCTGAGAAGATTGAGCATTCGTTAGGAGAGCAGATAAGTACTATTTCAAACGAAATCAAGGCCATCAAAGATTTTGAAAAGACAGGCCCCCACCCTGAACTAACCAAAATTCGAGAAAATTACAACAACAAAAAATCTAAAAAATTAAGCTGTCAATACGATAAAGCTATTCAATGAGTATGTTATTTAGTAGTTTCTGCAAAATAATGGCATTTCAATTTTTGAAATTGGAATGAAGACAGTATTGCACAGCAAATATTACTTTTCCCGTAACATTTCATACAAATTTTTATACAATAATATACAGGGTGACTTCGAAGTTGAGTAATTTATTTTAACAGTGAGTAGATCTGATCAAAAGAAATGTTTTTTTCATTTACCATTTTTCTGGTAAAATTAAAGTAACAAAGTTATAGCCCTTTGGAAGATTGAGTACCGCCCTGTCTCAATAATAATATTATGTGCTTGTGTTTGGCAACAACGGATATAATCCGCCTTATCGGTTCATCGCATCGGATACAAAAAAGCGAAAGAAGTTGGAACGATGTTTTTACAATTATTTTATTCAGTTGTATACAGTCAGTGTCAGTCGGTAACGCGTGAGTGAACAGTGGTGTTTGCTGCGTGGCTCAAACGAAATAAAAAATGGCACATGTTTATGCGGATCGGTTTCCCAATCGAGTGCAACCAACCCCTCGTGCCTTTGTTAATGTAGTACAACGGGCTCGTGAATCAGGTGACTTAAGACCTCACAGGAGAGAGCATGCCGGTGCTCCAAGACCTCACGATCAAATACAGGTCCGCACTGAAATACTTGTTGGGAGGATACTTTATAAAACAAGGTGAAATTTTTTTTTTAATTTTTTTTTATTTTTACACACATATTTTGGTTTATCTTCCTTCTACAATCATTATCTGAAAATTAATGACTCAACTTCAAAGTCACCCTGTATAATCCCGATGCATCTTAACGATGAGCTGAAAAATCGAAAACAAAACTCACAATAACGCATAAAAAGTCCGTCACTATGAAAAGGTGCAAAAAGTTGTCTCCGAAATCTGTACGACGCCTTTTGATTTGTATACGCAATAGCAAGTAAACAACAACTTGGGCGCCAGCAGGATTCGAAGTCTTCCATTCCAAAATTGATCATGGAGCTTATAATGGGCTCATGTCCGGAGCCTGCTCAGCTCCATCCGGTGTTCCACAGGGGTCCAACCTCGGACCACTTTTATTCCTATTGTTTATTAATTATTCCTTTGTGAAAATTTAAAAGGCATGCGATTATGTTCTGTTGTCGACATGAAAATATATTCGTCTATAAGGGATAATCATGATTTACAGATAGAGTTGAATAGTATTTGGACTTGTTGCAATCTCAACAATTTACAAGGTTATAACAAGGGCAAGTCTGTTACAGTAAAAAAAAACCTTCATATTGTAGCGTTTTTCTGGGTTCTTTTGGGTGTGGATCAAAGCACTGGATTCCACAAAAAGAAATGCACTAATTTATTTATCTTGATACAACATTTATATGCACCACTATTTATGTCTGACTAATCCTTACGTCGCCATTGACTACTATATACTCCACTCCGCTCTGCTACTCTACCGTATTCAGTACTCTGCCTCCATCTCCCGGCCGCCGACTTATATATAGTCCCCATTGCTGCTTCTAGAAAGACCGCGTGTACCACAAAGCGACATTTAGAATGTTGCAGATCACTTTGCGTCGATCTAGAAGGCGATCCACTGTTACGGTCCTCACAAACACCGCCAGGCGGCTTGTGCTGTCGTGGTTCGCGTAAAAGCAGAGATCGGCCGCTAAGCTCTGGCGAGTAGGAGACTCGCCCAACAGATGGCGCTATTTGTCACAATATTGATGGTGCGTTGTTGGATAGACGTGATGCAATCAGAGGTTTGGATGTTCTTTATCAGCAAAGATTAACATTTGCTCGCCACATTTCTCAAACAGTTTCAGAAGTGTTTGAGTCATATGGTTTCCTGTCAGACATTGTAGGCTTTGATGGTATATTTTGTAAATGTGCATACCAAACTTGAATATGTGATATATAAATGAAATTGAAAAAGGTTTAAAGGCGGTTCCTGGAATTTCTTTATATGAAGTCTCAGGAAGTTTATCCTGAGAAAGGAGTGTGGGCATTTGGACATTCAAACCTTATACATTATCTGCAATATGTGTTTTCAAACTATTACATGACAAGATCGACCTCCCGGTATTCTAGTGCAAATTTATATTAGTGGACCTCGGATTCCATGGCGCAATTATGTCACAGTCAAACCATCTAGAGCGAGGATTAACGTTTTGGTCAAGTCACTTCTCAATGTTATGTGTAAAAATCTCAATAGGCTTAGCTGTCCTCACACTGTGGTACCGTGGTAAGTGCTCACGAGACGCCGTGGTGTAACTAAACTCTGGGCGCTGAAGAAAGACATTAAACGTAAACAGTGATCAGCACGTGAACAGATCCCTCGAAAGCATCCACGGATATACTCCAGTCACTTTAGGTCTAAACATCCTCGGCAGTGTATTTCTAGTGAATCCACAGACCCTTTTTCGTGTCATCTTGAGACTAGAAAAAGGATGACTGTTAAAATAAGTTACCTTGATCTTTCATGAGCTCCCAGTACAAAACATCATCGATATATTTTTGATGTAGGAACAACAAATTGGTTTAGAAAACATCCACTTTGAACCTAAATTGACTGGAGTAACATCGATCTACAGACAAATTCAAGGTCACTAGCAGTCGTCGGCGCTCTACGAATCTGCACAGGTTTGGACTTGTAAACGTGATTGTAGATGACACGACAGGCATCTAACAGTTAATTCACGCACAGGATTGCATTGCATACGCATTACGCATTCAGTAGCGTATACTCGTTTTTCGCGAGTGGAACGTTTTGTTTATATATTGCCTAAGATACGATGTCTGACACAGATACAGCCGACGAAGTGGTTGACATCAGCGCAACCCCACCCAAAAAAAGGGCTAAGAAGCTACATTTAAGTGCAAATGAAAAACAAATAATATTAAATATATACAAAAACCAAATTCAAGAAAAACCCGATTTGGTCGTGGACGAAGTTATATGTAAGGTAGCACATATTTCTGGAGTATGTCGGTCCAGTGTTTATAGGATCATTAAGGAATATAGGAGCACTCACTCACTTTCTGAGCCAAAACCGTATCCTGCAAGAAAAAGGATAACGGACGGAGTAGATGACTTTGACAGAACTGCCATCAGGAGGAAAGTGCATAATTTTTTCTTCCGAAATGAGATACCTACAGTAGATAAGATATTAAGATTAGTTAATGCTGATGAGGATCTTCCATCATTTAAAAGAACCACATTCCGAAAACTTTTGAAGGAACTTAATTTTCGATTCTTGAAACGGGGAAGAAACAGTATGTTAATAGAGAAAGAAGAAATTGTTGTGTGGAGAAGGGAATACCTTAGGAAGATTCGGAAGTTTCGCGATGAAAAAAGAAAAATTTACTATTTGGACGAAACGTGGGTGAATGCTGGACATACTCAAGCGAAAGTTTGGGTCGACAAATCAGTAACATCATCAAGGCAGGCTTTTCTAGACGGTCTTTCGGCTGGATTGAAAAATCCTGCAGGTAAGCTCCTTCATCTATCCGGCAATTTAATTTTGATAAATTCGGGCAAATAATATGCTGTGATAGCAGATAATGTGTGATATTCTCCAAAAATGGTGCATTCGCAGTGTAGTCATTAGGACAAAACTTCGACCCTCTTTTAAGCGTTATTTTGAAATTTATTATCATTTTTGGGTGCAGTCAATTTGCTTTGAATGGGTTTTGAGAAGTTGCAAACTTCAATTTTCTACGTTTTTCAGTTTTTGATCAGCATTCCGTGACTCTTATATTCAGCTAAATGAACTCAATTGCCTCATTCCTTCAAATTTAATCAATCCATAGTGTAAGGAATAATTTATTTCCAGGAAAAGGCAAACGGCTGATCATTTGTCACGTAGGTAGTGAAGACGGCTTTGTTCCCGAAGCACTGTGGGCCTTTGAATAAAAAAAGACAGGGGACTATCATGAGGAGATGGACGCCAATTCCTTTGAAAATTGGTTCTCCAAAATGTTACTAAAGCTGGATAATAACGCTGTTATTGTACTGGATAATGCCCCGTACCATTCTAGAAAAATAGAAAAAATTCCCACAATGGCAACTAAAAAAGCAAACATACAACAATGGCTGGCCTCAAAACAGATCGATTTTGATGAAACAATGGTCAAGGGTGAATTGATAAGTATAGTCAATAGACATAAATACAAATAAGATTTTAAAATGATCGACGAAATGGCCAAAAAAACAAAATAAAACTGTCTTGAGACTGCCACCCTACCATTGTGAGCTGAACCCTATTGAGCTGATTTGGGCCAACATAAAGCAATACGTGGCGTCGAATAATAATACTTATAAATTTTCTGATGTTAAAAATCTCTTTCACATCGCAGTCAATAGAGTTACGGCAGAGGAATGGAAAAACTGTATCCGCCACGTTCGGGAGAAGGTTGAGGTCAAAATGTGGGATTTGGACAATGTCATCGATACCCAAATTGAACCTCTAATAATTCATTTAAACGATTCAGAAGATTCAAGTTCCTCTTCTGAATGAGTGCGCGCAGCTTACTTACTAATAACTAAAAAGTGTAGTTAACTCATTTGTGAATCTCTAACTGAAATTTACTGTAAAAGATAATAATTATCTTGTATGAAATTTTTGATGACTACCCATAATATCTTGATGCGGTCCTGTAATGTCTTCTGCGCCTAAACACTCACTCACGAGCAATATGCGTGTATTTGTTTGGGTTTAGTTTCTTTCTTCAGCGCCTAGAGTATAGAAAGCGACTGGAGATACCAATCCGATTTGTTTCACTTGAACGCCGCCAGATGGAGCATCAAGCAGCCTGAAAGAACAATGAAACAGTGGCGTAGGATTAAATTTACCTCTAAGTGGTTGGGTCAGTTCTACGGAACGTAGGAGACGCAGGTTTGAATCCCGCCGACGTCCATCTTTCCTTCATCTTAAGCTGTTGTTTACTAAGCATCTCTTGATTTGTTTGATCTCAAAAACCGTTGTTTGAGGTCGTCATTTTATTATTTATGCAAGTAGTAGTCTTATGGTTACTGTCATATCATCTCTATCAACATTCGGAAATACAAGGTAATAAAATATGGATATAGTTTGTAGGACTGGCTTTCAAGAGACATGACAGACTCCTTATTATAGAATCAATCTTTTTGCACCTGCACGCTGTTCCTACCCTTATTACAAAATATAACTATTCAATCGAACATTGGATCATAATCCTATATTTTCGTCAATAAACATGCTTATAGAACATGTAAGTTCTCGCACGACTTACTCTTACTGATGTCGTTCATACAAATCTTCTGTAAGATTTCTCTGGCAATGTTGAGACTGAGACTGGTCTTGGAGCCATGTAGTTTGTTGGTTTCCTTTTTCAAATTCACCTTCTTCTGCTTGGTTTCTCGCAGCCGGATCTGTTTCAGTATACCGACAAGGAGCTCGTCTACGTTATGTTGAATGCCGCTGGAAGTTTCGATGAACTTGCAGTCCCGGGCTACTGCCAGGGCTTTCCCTTCTGGAAAAACAAAAAATATGTTACGTAAAAAAGATTTCCGATGTATGGTCAAGGTGTTTTTATAGCTAGCGTAGGGACAGCATTAAGGGGAGGCCGATCGGTCGGATAAGGAATATAAGGTTAGAAAAAATAGAATTGCATGCGCATATAGGGTGTCCCAGAAGTCGACGTCAAGCTAGGACAAGTCATAATATATGGGGTTGTCCATAACGGATGCAGGAAAGTAAACGCATATTAAAACAAGAAAGATTGATATTCAAATCAAGTTGGGTACTTTATTTTGAAGGTTCATTCATACCATTTATGTATGAAAAATAATATCGCTCAAATGTTCACCACGACTGGATTTACGGACGTCCACGCGATGGTCGAAATTTTCAATTACATTTTGCAACATGGTCGGTTCTATGGCATTTATCTCGGCAATGATGTTGTTTTTGAGTTCTTGGAGGATGGCTGGTTTGTTGACGTAGACTTTGCTTTTCAAATATCCCCATAAAAAGAAGTCCAAGGGAGTCAAATCGCACGATCTTGGTGGCCATGGCACACTTCCTCTGCGCGAAATCACGCGATCACCGAAGAAGGACTGCAATCGATGGATATTGACGTTGGTTGTGTGGCATGTTGCACCGTCTTGTTGGAAATAAACATCGTCCATATCGATTCCTTCAAGTTGCGGCAAAAAATAGTCCTCTATCATCACGTGATATCGCTCAGAATTGACGGTAACGGCGTCCCTGGCCGCATTTTCGAAAAAGCAAGTTCCGATGATGCCTTTTGACCACAATGCATACCACACATTCAGTTTTTGAGGATGCATCGGCTGCTCTTGATACTCACGGGGATTTTCGTTCGCCCAGATGCGGCAGTTTTGCTTGTTTACCGTCCCATTCAAAGTGAAATGCGCTTCGTCGCTGAACATGATTTTTGATGAAAAATTGCCATCAATTTGGCGGTGTTCAAGGAGCCAATCTGAGAACGTTCGGCGCGAAAAATGGTCGGCCCGACGCAGCTCTTGCGTCAATTGGATCTTGTAGGCGTGTACATTCAAATCCTTGTGGAGAATGCGGAGCCAACTGGTTCTCGAAATGCCCAATTCGCGTTTTTGATTGTTTCGGATCGTCTCTCACACTCTCCTTCACAACAGCAATATTTTCCGGAGTGCGAACGCTCCTTGGCCGGCCAAAGCCTGGCAGATTTGCCACAGAACCTGTTGCCTCGAATTTACACACCAGACGACCGATGGTTGTTTCGTTGAGCGGTTGTTGCGACCGAAATGTTCACGAAGCGCGCGAAACGTGTTTTTTATTTTTGCACCATTTTGTAGTGCTCTTGAATAACTTTAATGCGGCCTTCAATCGAATACGACTCCATAGCGATCAATGGTAAACATTCAACTAACAAAATGACATGTCGGTGACAGAAAACAAAGATGGCGTCTATGTCAAATTGACGTTTACTTTCCTGCGTCCCTATTGGTCAACTCTTTAGTTATGTGCAAGACATAAAAAATTTAAGTTGCGTACTTTTGGAATTATAGGTTTTAAAAAAGTCGGAAAAACCTATACCCTGTGGTGACATGCACCTCATTTACCGGAAATATTTTCCAGATTCCCAATACTTTTTCGAAATTTCAAAATTATTTTAAGCATTTCTGAATTTTTTCTATTGTTTCAAATTATCCTCAACTTAATTCCCGTCTTTCCAAAATTTAAAATTATTTTCCAAATTTTCAAATATATACAATTTCTTTCAAAATTTTCAAATCCATTTTTTTCTAAATTCAAAATTTTTCTGACTTTGAAATTTCCAAATTGATTCCAAAACTTCATTTTTTTTCAAAATTTTTAATTTTTTTCAAATTCCTAATATTTACTATTTTTTCCAAAATATCCTCAAAATTATTTATTGAAATTTCCGAATCTTACAATTAATTTATAAATTATTGAATCCAAATTTTTCATAAATTTCCAAGTCCAAATTTATTTCCAAATTTCAAATTCTTTTCAAAATTGCAAATTTTTCCATATTTCGAAATTTTTAAGTTTTTTGTTTAAATTGGCAAATTTTTCCCAACATTTCCAATTTTTCTCAAAGAAATTCCGAGTTCCAATCTTTTTTCAAAATACTCGGATTTTTTAATTTTTCATACTCCTCCAACTTGTTTCCTATATTTCCAATTTTTCTCAAAATATCCTAATCTTGAAATTATTTTCCGAATTTCCGAATATTACAATTATTTTTCATATTTTTAAATCCAAATTGTTTCCAAGTTTTCAGATTAAGTTTTTTCATTTCCAATTTTCCTAAAAATATCCTAATCTTGTAACTACGAGCCCCTTCCCGCTTCAGTTGTAACAACTATTCAAATCTTAGTTTTTTTCTAATCAAACACAAATAATAAAAATGGAACAGGGTGTTATAGGTTTAAAATATTAACAATGAATATTTTGATAATATATAGTAGAAAACACCAACTTTAACACTCCCTAATCAAATTTGCAGCATAAAAATAACACATGTTGCAATTACAGCATATCAACCTATTTTCATCTCAATGCAAAATAAGTCTATAACGCATAGGTGGCTGTGAAAAATAAAAGCCATGACAATTGTTTTTATTAATCACAGCTGTCAGAATACGTTTCAAATAGTTTTGGGTAGTTAAGGTTTTCAAAATGGGTAGAGGAAAGGTTATTAGTGAGAAAATTCGGTTACTGATAATTAATTTTTTTTATTCTGGGAAATCAAACTCAGAAATTGCAACTTTGTTAGACTTATCGCGGTACAGTGTGAGAAATATTGTTAGAAGATATAACGTAACTGGTTCAGTTAATATTAAGCCACGATATGTGAAAAAAAGTAATATCACAAATGCCGACCGAAGAACATTAAGAAGCATAATCGTGAAAAACAGGCGTGCCGATTATTTACAATTAAGCGCTCTGTGGAGTGACGCTGTTGGAAGGAGAATTTTGAGGTCCACAACTCATAGGTAGGTAGGTTTTCTTATTAAAAAAAGTGAAGTAAAAACCCTAAAGTTGCACAACTTGTTTATAGGCCAAAGAAAAGCCACTATTAACTCCATTGCAAAAGAAAAATCGGCTTAGATGGGCTAAAGAACATAGACAATGCTCAACAATGGTGTGCAATACAATTGAGTGATGAGGCCCGATTCGAAGTTTGTGTTGGTGACAGTGGCAGTAGAGTTATCCGCAAAAAAAAAAATGAAGCATTCCATGTTGACTGTCTGAAGAGAAAAGTGAAATTTCCAGCATCCATTATAGTCTGGGGCAGTATGTCATCAAAAGGAGTAGGAAAACTTCATTTTATTGATGGAAATGTAGTACCAGTGATGGAAGAATGTTTGACATCCGGCCAAGATTTTGTGTTTCAGCAAGATGGTGCAGCGTGCCATACCTCAAAAAAGGCTATAAAATGGATGGAAGAAAATAATGTACCACTTTTGAAATGGGTTTCTAGCAGTCCAGATCTGTCACCTATTGAAACTTTGTGGTACGAGATGAAAAAGGTTCTACGACAACATCCTGCTCGTACAATCACCGAACTGAGACAAAAGCTTCAAGAAATATGGGATTGTTTTACACCAAATTTTTGCCAAAAGTTATAGGTCTAAATGTTTTTGAGAAAATAAATTGTTTTAGAAGTAAATAGTTTCGTCATGTTTAGTTTATAAAGGGAAGGGGCTCGTACTTTCCGAATTGTCCAATTATTCCCCAAATTTTCAAATACACTTTTCCTCAAATTTTCAGATTCAATTATTCTACAGATTCCGAAAATCATTCAAAATTTTAAAATGTTTTCAAAATTCCCAAATTAATTTAAGATTCGAAAATCTTTTCATATCTCAAATTTTCCAAATTTTTCAAAATCTGCAATACTTATATTCAAAATTTCCTATTTTTTAAAATTTAAAATGTTTCCAACTTTTTTCAAAATATCCTACTTTTGAAATTTATTTCAAATTTCCGAATTTTATAACTATTTTATAAATTTTGGATTCCAAACTTTTTTCAAGATTTTCAAAATGTTTTAAAAAGTTCAAAATTTTTCATATTTCGAAATTTCCATATTTTTCCCAATATTTAATTTTTTTTAAATACCGTAATTTTGAGATTATTTTCCAAATTTACGAATTCTACAATCATTTTCCAAATTTTCAAATCCAATTATTTTTACAAATTTCCAAATGCAAATCTTTATCCAAATTGAAAAATTTTCAAATCGGATTTTTTTCAACGTTTCTTGAATTGCCATCGATCCTTGACCACTGTGAAAATTTTCAAGTTCATCACACTTCTTGAAATTGGTGAAAATCAGATTGCAAGATTCCGCTAGTTAACATTACATAACTGTTCATTGATACTGACCATTTGGAGGAATAACTCGAGCTCTAGCCAAGTCAGCTTTATTCCCTACAACGATGACGCTTTTTTCCTGCGTGTATCCCTCCCTCCAGAGGTAGTTCAGCGTCTCTTCGGCATGTTGGAAGCTAGGCCTAGCTACTACGGAATAAACAACCACACAAGCATGCGGTTCATACGTGCTTAACGAATTTTCCACCTGAAATAAAACATCAACTAGTTAAGAGCGTCATATTCAGTCGTCATTAAACAGGATGTCCCAACCGTGCGAGGAATTATTATTATAATACATTCCCAACCTCGGTAATTCATCGTATCCATTAGACATATTCCACATTTCGCCGTACATTTGCACTACAATCTTAGAAAAATATTTCCAGCAGATGAATCGCGTTCCTATCGGTCGCACTTACCCTGCATCCTGTGGTTGTAAATAATGCTTCTTTGGTAGGGGAATTTAGGGACAAAAGCAGGTAGAAGTGCGACGGCGCCATGTTGCCTCGTATGTACATCGTGGGGGCGATATTATACGAGGTTTATTTCAAACATATTTTTTCAGGCACAGGGATTCTTTTACGAAATGAATTCACCGTTGGAAACGTTGCCCTTTAAGCTGTTTTTCTCCATAGTCGCCAAATGATTAAATATTTCCAATAGACTAAACACGGTTTCAGTTCTGTCGGTGTCTAAAGCAGGACCTATCTTGCGTACAAGCCGAGGGCTATGTGAAGCAAATTACTCTCATTATAATCACCGAAGCTGATCAAATAACCTCGATAAAAGAGTTTTTGCTTTCCGTTTCAATTAGCTTCATTTTCCTACTGAAAATCCAGAGGAAAAACTCCGTCGCGCTGAGTATCGTTTTAATCAGAGAAGTTCGTCTGGTAACGAGGTACACGCTGGTAATTTATAAATGAGGGATAAAGCGTTCGTAAGAGGTTAATAATCTTCCTTCGGGCACTTCGTTCGCATTGTTGCTTTGCTTATTTTGGATGACATGGGGCGTAGGGGAGTCTAGATGATGATTACGTCATCGGTAGTTATTTACTTTTTTACACGAATGGCAGCCCTCACATTCTCTTTGCTTGAAAACGAAACGCGTTTTCGGGGATTCCCGCAAATAATGCACACGTTTAGTGAACAGCGCGCGGTAATTCCCCTACTCGCTTTAGAACCGAGTAGGGGAATTACCGCGCGATGTTCACTTGTTTAAATTTCCTCTATCAGTGTATTGTTTCGTTTGAATACTATAACGAGTAGACGTATTGTAAGCATAGTAAAGCAAGTTAACATTTGTGTTACCATTGATTCCATTAGCCAAAGTATAATGTTTAAATAAGATGTCGTTTCACATAGACAAATCCAAGTTATACCAAAAATTGTTTGGAAGTTTTAAAAAATCTCATACAAGTACGAAAGTAAAAAATGTACAAAAGTTAGTTAACGAAGTGTGGCGAAATTACAAATAACAAGCAAAATCCGACAAGGAACTAGATATTATTGTATCTAAGAGAATCGAAGAAGTAATGCAAGCGGCGACTAAGAATAAATCCAATCTACTAAATTTTTTTTCTAAGGTGAGTGACGAAATCATTTTAGGTACCTATGAGTACTAGAAATAGTAGAAATCGCCAAAAAGTTTCTCTTTACTGATTAAAAAATATTATGCCCTATCTCGAAGTATAGAGGTAATATTCTTTATATTATAGATCTATTTCTTATGATTGATTCCGTCAATTGGTCACAAAGTACAGGATGTTAGTGTTATACATATATACAGAAAACTAACACCCTTTATTTTGTGACCGGAACGAATTGCTCGTTTAAACATATTAGATTTAAAGCCATAGGGTTTTGTATTTACCATATATATTGCCATACTTTGTATTTATGTAGCTTAATAAGAGCTTCTTTAGCAGAAGCCATAGAAAGTTTTTATTTTTACGCAACCTGTAAACCTGCAGAAAAAACACAAATTATACAGTAAGCTTCAAATATTAAAAAAAGAGGAAGAAGATAAAATAAAACCCGGTAATGAATCACAACAGCAATGCGAAATTAATGAAAATACAGATAAACAGAGAGCAAAACCTTCTCAGGAAGCTATGAAAAATAAGATTGCTCTACTCGAAAAAAATCTGAATGCTTTGTATTCTGCCAGAGACACTATGCCAAGCCGTGCTGAAGTTGATAAACAGATCATTAAGTTGCGCGAGGAAATAAAAACAGCAAAACAGTCTTTAAACAGGAAGGTCCAAAACGCAGTTGCCCAGAAGAAACACAGGGATGGTATGAAAAGAAAGTTAGAAGATATTTGTCATGAAAATCCAGAAATAAAAAAAAATACTATCTCTGAGGGATTCAGTGGGACATCCTAATCTTGAAAGCAATCAACATTCACTATTGAAAACAATCGCGGATATAGCTTTATTTGGGAGTGCAGCAGATGATAGAAGACGAACGGAATCAATTCGCAGCGTAAAAACTCTTGATGAACCCACACAAGAATTACGTAAAATAGGATTTGACATTAGTCGCAGTGGGACATATCTTCGTTTGATTCCCAGAAAATCTAATTCTGCAGAGGGACGAAGACATGTATCGACAGTCCCTGTTAAGCTCATTCGGGCTCAAACTGATCACCACAAGAGCCACTTAGACAGCAAGTTCGCTGAAACATCAATCCATTATTTAGAGAACATAGCATCCATACTTGGACCAGATCAAGTATTTTTCATGTCTCAAAATGATAAAGCTCGAGTCCCTATTGGCGTTACTGCGGCAAATAAGCAAGCACGTCTTCTAATGCACGTGGAATATAGAATCAAATTGCCTGATCACGATTGGGTAATCGCTGAGCGTCATAAATTAATACCATCTGTTTATGCTGGTATCAAAATCACTTCCAATATGCTAGGACAACCGCAAGCCGTTGGATATTCTGGACCAACATACATCGCTATTCGAAGTGGAAAGCATAGTTCATCTTCTGCTAATACTCATGCTCAGGATTTCAAGACGCTTCTCGAACTTGAAGAGTTTCGACCATTAGCTAAAACTGACCATGGACTAGAAAAACCAGTGGTAATCATGACGGTTGATGGAGGGCCAGATGAAAATCCACGTTGTTATCAAAAAGTCATATATACAACACTTTAAGCGACATGATCTCGATGCATTGTGTTTAGCTACCAATGCTCCTGGAAGAAGTGCGTATAACAGAGTAGAGCGCAGAATGGCTCCTCTTAGTCGGGAACTGGCTGGTCTAATATTGCCTCATGACCATTCTGGGTCTCATTTGGTTGAACGTGGCGTTGAAACTGATGAACATTTAGAAAGATCTAATTTCGAATTTCCAGGAAATGTATTAGCTGAAGTATATGGAGTTCAATGGAAATTGATGGCTATAATATTAATGCAAAATATGTTGGGGCAGGTGAACAAAATCTTCCTGATTTTCCAGACATTAGATGGTATTCAAAACATGGTGGGAGGGGGTAAGAGCTTTGCTTACTTTTTGGGGGGTAAATAATTGTAATAAATCTGCTTACGTAATACTTGAACGGCCCCTAAGCGTTTCTTTGATCTTTGTACATTGTACCAGGTTTTATTTCATTTCCCTATGAAGCATTCCATGTCATCGCTTAATGATTCGTTGAATAAAGAAATATTATTATTATTTACTTATTTCCTGTCAACAGGAACATGTCGCGAACTCTACTGGACGACAGAACGACCACGCTGATGCAACGTTACAATGGTCGATAGACTGCATCAAAATACAGTCTAAGGATCATTTGTCTTGAGGATATTGCGAGTTTTTTTGAACTTAGCGTCTTTTCCCTTTAAGCGGTATCCATACCGCTTGCGACTGCTTTGTAGGGTAAAAGCGGAAAATATAGAAAGCTTATATATAGTTCTTTTTTCGGAGAGCGCTACCAAGTGCTTTCTGGAACCCTGAAAGGTCTATTTTATATTGAATTTTATAGAGAGTTATAGTCTGTTTACCTGGAAGGGAAGCTAAATGGATTTCGGCTTTAAGGAAAACACGACGTAAATGGAGCGGCGGAAATTCGACTGTCTCCTAAGTCGACGATCTGAAGATGGGAAATGTAAAATTACGAGATAACGTTGAGCATTTAGGTAACTACGAAAATGCTACATAAAAAGTTAGGAGCTAAACGAGATAAACTGAATTTTCGTAAAGTCGATTTTATATATTTTTTTTTGCTTTATTTGAGATGGGTTATAAAAGTAAAAAGTACTTTAACATTGCCGCTTTTTCTTCTCTACAAGACGGCATAATTATAATTCAAATGTGAACGCTTTATTCATATTTCTGTGTCATTATGAGTTTTGGTGTTGACGGAGCAACTGGCAGTAATTTTTTTTGGGTATTTGTGAGATTAATAATGGTGAGGCACTGCTGCATATCTGAAATTATAGCCAACAAAAAGGTAAGTATAGGTTATATTTATGATTTATTTTCGGTTCGAAGTGGCGTGTTTGTTATTCCCTTACCCCAAGTTGGATGATTAATTGTTTTTCGACTTCGATTTTTGTAATATGTAATTGTATTAGTTTTTTATTTATGGACAGCATACTATGCCCCTTTTTAGTTACAGAGCTGAGCAGAAACAGTTCGCTAATTTGGAAAGCTAAAAAAAACTAAACAATTCAAGATATAGAATATATACTAAGTGACATATAAATCCGAACACCCAGTTTAAATGGTTTTATTTTAATAAAATTTGGTGAATGTATTTACCTTACTGTAAATAACAAGTTTAAAAATTTTCAGCCTTATCAGTTGGACATTCCGGTTTTTATACTGCTTTTTTTTAATTCACTAACGCTCTAAAAATGAATATTTCAGCCGCAGTAAAGAATCAACGTTGGCGGATTTTGGTTCTCGACATCCTTTACGATCGGTTACGATGCCTAGAGTACGGAGACCTGTACGATTTCGTCAACTTAGTGAGTTTGATAGGGGCCGTATAGTGGGACTTCGGGAAGCTGGACTTTCTTTTCGGGCAATTGCAGTTCGAGTGCAAAGAAGTGTAGACACTGTGGTTAGGTGTTGTCAGGCATGGCTTCGAGAAGGCCGTACGCAAAGAGCAAGGGGCACTGGACGCCGCCGTAGAACAACAGACCGTGAAGATCGCCGCCTAAGATTATTGGCCTTAAGGGACCGTTTCT